AAATTGACAAAAAACTACAATTTTGACAGTTAGGTACCATTTTTCGAAAGCAAATATTATTTTTTTCAAATCTGGTATAACTTAAATTGTGCGCCCTTTAAAGGCGCACAAAATGTTGGGACCAGTTTTTTTAATTTCGATTCCGTTTTCGGGCTATTTCGATTAAAAGGTGAAAAAAGGTGTAAAATTAAGCTATTTACAACCCATCCAGCGTTTTCATATTTTAAAATATTACTTCGTAACTTTCATAAACTCGTAGCAATAATCTATACGGAGAGAATGTATGTGAAAATTAATTTGTAATATGCGCAGGTGCCGAGAAATGGGCAATTTTGCATGAGTCACTTTTTACGCTAGTTTGCCTGTAAAAGAGTCAATTATTATTCGATTTTCATAAAAGTGACACCATTTGATGTGTAATGTCAATTTTAACTAGGTCAAACCAATTTAACATTTTCAATATCACCGGAAATGACGTAATTTGGGCAAAAATTGTATTTATAGCCTTCGAAACCAGTAATTTATTCAAATGAGTCATATTTGTTATTTGTTTAAAATTTTGATATTTGATTCAAATGAACTAATACAATGAACCCTTACGATCATATAGATATCACAAAATGGTTTCTAACTTGTTCAGTTGCGGAGAAATAGGCAATTTTCAACAGGTCACTTTTTAAGGTTTTTTGTCAATAAAAGTGTCAATTATTATTCGATTTTCATGAAATTTTCATTGTGTGATACCTAATGCCATTTACGATTTCATACAAGTAATTTAAGATTTTCATTATCACCGGAAGTAACGTCATTTTGGCAAAAACTGTATTTTTAGCCTTCAAAACAGATATTTTATTCAAATGAATCAGATTTGTAATGTTTTTAAAATTATGATATTTGATTCCAATCAACAAATAGAATGAACTCATTCGATCATACAGATACCTCAAAATGGTTTCTAACTTGTACGGTTGCAGAGAAATAGGCGATTTTCTACAAGTCATTTTTCAAGGTTTTTGGTCTATAAAGGTGGCAACTTTTATAGGATTTACATAAAATTTTCACCATGTGATGATGCTATTTCTGATTTCATAAACCAATTTAACATTTTCATTATCACCGGAAGTAATGTAATTTTGGTACCGGAAGTGACATAAGTTCAAGGGTAACGTGGCACCGGTGAAACCCGTCATTACTGCTTCGCAGTTCTAGTTCTTATTATTATTATTCTTCTTTTGTTTTGAGTAGATCTCAGCAACTGATTGTCGGATCGTTACGATTTCTTCGGTTTTATCGGAAAAGTGGGTGTGACTTAGAGGATAAAGCTATTTTGAACGTTCTGCGACAATGCGAAATGTCCGAAATCACCGAAGCTATCGTTTTTAGAAATATTGCAGTAATTTTAACAATAATCATTGGATTTTAACGTTCGATGCATTTTGGCATAGCCGGAGACGGGGCACATAGCTACGCTACTTTTGATTTTTGATTTTCGGCAAATCTTCGCAGATATTAGGCGCTAAATTTAGAAAATTTAAATTTTTACAAAAAACTTTTTTATTTATGAATATTTTTTAGTCGTGTTTTAAGCAAATATAACGAGTCCTCTGACTTGGGCAAAAATGTGAAAATTTTTTGTCCCAGTAATTTTCCTTGGCCCCCATTGGCTAATTCAGTTTTTCAGTCCTATATTAATTATTTATTGTTCGATTTGTATAAAACAAGGTTCATATGCTCCGTTGTCTCAATTGTCATTTTTTTTGTTACCAATAGTGTTATCTGTCGGCACCGGAAGTGGCGTAAATTGACAAAAAACTACAATTTTGACAGTTAGGTACCATTTTTCGAAAGCAAATATTATTTTTTTCAAATCTGGTATAACTTAAATTGTGCGCCCTTTAAAGGCGCACAAAATGTTGGGACCAGTTTTTTTAATTTCGATTCCGTTTTCGGGCTATTTCGATTAAAAGGTGAAAAAAGGTGTAAAATTAAGCTATTTACAACCCATCCAGCGTTTTCATATTTTAAAATATTACTTCGTAACTTTCATAAACTCGTAGCAATAATCTATACGGAGAGAATGTATGTGAAAATTAATTTGTAATATGCGCAGGTGCCGAGAAATGGGCAATTTTGCATGAGTCACTTTTTACGCTAGTTTGCCTGTAAAAGAGTCAATTATTATTCGATTTTCATAAAAGTGACACCAGTTGATGTGTAATGTCAATTTTAACTAGGTCAAACCAATTTAACATTTTCAATATCACCGGAAATGACGTAATTTGGGCAAAAATTGTATTTATAGCCTTCGAAACCAGTAATTTATTCAAATGAGTCATATTTGTTATTTGTTTAAAATTTTGATATTTGATTCAAATCAACTAATACAATGAACCCTTACGATCATATAGATATCACAAAATGGTTTCTAACTTGTTCAGTTGCGGAGAAATAGGCAATTTTCAACAGGTCACTTTTTAAGGTTTTTTGTCAATAAAAGTGTCAATTATTATTCGATTTTCATGAAATTTTCACTGTGTGATACATAATGCCATTTACGATTTCATACAAGTAATTTAAGATTTTCATTATCACCGGAAGTAACGTCATTTTGACAAAAACTGTATTTTTAGCCTTCAAAACAGATATTTTATTCAAATGAATCAGATTTGTAATGTTTTTAAAATTATGATATTTGATTCCAATCAACAAATAGAATGAACTCATTCGATCATACAGATACCTCAAAATGGTTTCTAACTTGTAAGGTTGCAGGGAAATAGGCGATTTTCTACAAGTCATTTTTCAAGGTTTTTGGTCTATAAAGGTGGCAATTATTATAGGATTTACATAAAATTTTCACCATGTGATGATGCTATTTCTGATTTCATAAACCAATTTAACATTTTCATTATCACCGGAAGTAATGTAATTTTGGTACCGGAAGTGACATAAGTTCAAGGGTAACGTGGCACCGGTGAAACCCGTCATTACTGCTTCGCAGTTCTAGTTCTTATTATTATTATTCTTCTTTTGTTTTGAGTAGATCTCAGCAATTGATTGTCGGATCGTTACGATTTCTTCGGTTTTATCGGAAAAGTGGGTGTGACTTAGAGGATAAAGCTATTTTGAACGTTCTGCGACAATGCGAAATGTCCGAAATCACCGAAGCTATCGTTTTTAGAAATATTGCAGTAATTTTAACAATAATCATTGGATTTTAACTTTGGATGCATTTTGGCATAGCCGGAGACGGGGCACATAGCTACGCTACTTTTGATTTATAATTTTCGGCAAATCTTCGCAGATATTAGGCGCTAAATTTAGAAAATTTAAATTTTTACAAAAAACTTTTTTATTTATGAATATTTTTTGGTCGTGTTTCACACAAATATAACGAGTCCTCTGACTTGGGCAAAAATGTGAAAAAATTTTGTCTCGGTAATTTTCCTTGGCCCCCATTGGCTAATTCAGTTTTTCAGTCCTAGATTAATTATTTATTGTTCGATTTGTATAAAACAAAGTTCATATGCTCCGTTGTCTCAATTGTCATTTTTTTTGTTACCAATAGTGTTATCTGTCGGCACTGGAAGTGGCGTAAATTGACAAAAAACTACAATTTTGACAGTTAGGTACCATTTTTCGAAAGCAAATTTTTTTTTTTCAAATCTGGTATAACTGAAATTGTGCGCTCTTTAAAGGCGCACAAAATGTTGGGACCAGTTTTTTTAATTTCGATTCCGTTTTCGGGCTATTTCGATTAAAAGGTGAAAAAAGGTGTAAAATTAAGCTATTTACAACCCATCCAGCGTTTTCATATTTTAAAATATTACTTCGTAACTTTCATAAACTCGTAGCAATAATCTATACGGAGAGAATGTATGTGAAAATTAATTTGTAATATGCGCAGTTGCCGAGAAATGGGCAATTTTGCATGAGTCACTTTTTACGCTAGTTTGCCTGTAAAAGAGTCAATTATTATTCGATTTTCATAAAGTGACACCATTTGATGTGTAATGTCAATTTTAACTAGGTCAAACCAATTTAACATTTTCAATATCACCGGAAATGACGTAATTTGGGCAAAAATTGTATTTATAGCCTTCGAAACCAGTAATTTATTCAAATGAGTCATATTTGTTATTTGTTTAAAATTGTGATATTTGATTCAAATCAACTAATACAATGAACCCTTACGATCATATAGATATCACAAAATGGTTTCTAACTTGTTCAGTTGCGGAGAAATAGGCAATTTTCAACAGGTCACTTTTTAAGGTTTTTTGTCAATAAAAGTGTCAATTATTATTCGATTTTCATGAAATTTTCACTGTGTGATACATAATGCCATTTACGATTTCATACAAGTAATTTAAGATTTTCATTATCACCTGAAGTAACGTCATTTTGGCAAAAACTGTATTTTTAGCCTTCAAAACAGATATTTTATTCAAATGAATCAGATTTGTAATGTTTTTAAAATTATGATATTTGATTCCAATCAACAAATAGAATGAACTCATTCGATCATACAGATACCTCAAAATGGTTTCTAACTTGTACGGTTGCAGAGAAATAGGCGATTTTCTACAAGTCATTTTTCAAGGTTTTTGGTCTATAAAGGTGGCAATTATTATAGGATTTACATAAAATTTTCACCATGTGATGATGCTATTTCTGATTTCATAAACCAATTTAACATTTTCATTATCACCGGAAGTAATGTAATTTTGACAGGATCACTGACATGTAGCAAATGAATTGATTGCTGGATTTGGTTGTTTCTGCGTCCATTTTATTTCATGTGTGCAATGCTTATGTGGAAACCTGTTTAACGGTTTCATTGGTACCGGAAGTGACATAAGTTCAAGGGTAACGTGGCACCAGTGAAACCCGTCATTACTGCTTCGCAGTTCTAGTTATTCTTTATCTTTGTTATTTTCTTATAAATTATTTTAGTCGGGTTTGTATACTGTATAGTATATGTGTATGTTTCTACGCAGGGGCGTGTACTACACAACTAATAACGCCATTCCAGATATGTGAAATGAAATGTATTCAAGATCATGGTAGTCCACTCGAATCACCTGAACGCGAAGATGTTTACAAAGCATGTCGCACGAACTGTTCAAAAACCTATTTGTAAGTTTTTACCCTAAGCCATTAGAAGCATTGAAGTGATTGTGTTTTTTTTGTTCATATGTTTTACCTAGGCCTGCCATCGAAAGTTTACCGAATACACTTTGAGTTTAAAAAATGTTTTTAAAAATTAGTTCAATTTAATTTCACTTGAAATTCGTATTAAATTTGATATATATTTAGGTTGGGTTTTTTTATGATGTCGTGTGTCAACCTTCGATCGTCAAATATGTTGCCCGTAATACTGCTTTTGTTTACTGAAATCTGTTGTTTTTATTTCATCTGTATCTTTCAGATTTGAACACAACTTTGGAAACCTACAAACACTGGGATAAGAGATCATTTCTTCTGCTAAAAATGTCAAATTAAATAAAATAAGACTACACGTGTTGTTACTTCACGTAAAACCGGGAGATAAGTGATGTGATTTATCTCCAGGCTTCACAGACCTACGTGATAGTGATGAGATTTAAATACCTATTAATTCCTACACTGAAATATGTCAAAGAGACTATACAGATAGCTCCATCTCAATCCCAATTCCGGGGGGGGGGGGGGCGAATTGTCTAATGTGGCGCTTTAGATCATAGCGTCTGTCATTTAGTCAATTGAGGATGCTAGTGCCATTTCACAAAATCTGAAAAAAATAATATTTTTGCATACTTTTAGACCAGAACACTAAAATTAAAATATACTGTAATAAGAGGAATCAGAATGATAAAAATGAGCCAGTTGTTAAGAATATCCGCTAAAAATGGATTTATTTTATAAAATCAGATGATCTTATTTAAAAACAATGGGTCCACCTTATTGCATTAGCATCCTCAATTGGCGTAGTCTCCATTACCAGCTTGTACGTGGCACGGGTAGGGTCAACTTTCAAAGGTTCCCCAGTTATCTCCCGCTGCTAAACACCCCTACGCGCAAGCGTATTATTGAGATTAAAATGAACCATATATTAGTCCCAAAATGACTTTGCTTGTGTCGTACTGGAAAGTGTAGAAACTAAATAAATAAATCGACCAAGGTTGCGTGCCAAAATTTATATAGACCCCCCCCCCCCCCACACACACACACACACTCCCTTCCCTATTTGCAGTTACGTATTCATATGGGTATCTATACGCCCACATTGTATGGACAGAGGCCGGTTTTTAACATATTTTTCATGTTCGATGTGAACCCTACCGATTTTCCCAACATGTCACAATCAAAGGATGCTATAAATAGTATATACAGGCTGTGGCGATATTGTCTCTTACTCACAATCATGAATATTTTCCAAAGCCAGGCAGATTTTACTTATCCTCATAATGTTACACATTTTTGGAACATTCATAATTTCACATTCCACGAAAATATCATGAGCAGAAAAAAGCTGAACCACAATTTAATTTAGACAAATTCTTATTTGATCAATTAACATATAGGCTATTATATGGCATCATGGTCGGGTTTCGATTTCAGAAATACACAGTTTGGACACAGATCACCAAATATTTCTATTCGTAGAGCGAAAGTTATTTTTAGTTTTTCTCTCCCTTTCCCTTTTCCCCCCTTTTGCATGGCGATTTTTGTTGACTTTTTGGTGTAGAATCGAAGAAAAGGGTTTGAAAATACATTTTCTGCCAGGTTTTGGTGAATATTCATGATTTTGAGGCGGAAGGATACAAGGGTTGAGAGCTTGTGTATCTCAAGTTTTTCATGGTGAACCTCATACATGCTGTTGGGCAAGAGTTTGCCACATGTTGCTCCATCTGTGGCAGAAAGCGTTCTACCCAACGAAAATTTTGGGAAAAGTTAGAGCCGGTCTAAGATACGAGAATTAACATTAAAGTAGCTAAGTCTCTAACTCAATATCATCCAAAATCTTCGACATTGAAAACACGAATTATTTGTCAATTTAAATCAACATTGATATGGTGACCTTACGGGGAAAAGATTGGCTTCTGATATCCAATTATTAAGACAAAATAAATATTTTACCGTTGGTACACGAATCTGGAGGGCATGCGCAATAAATACTATCGGTATAGAGTGGAATAACAAGACGCTAGAGTTTGCCATTCGATTGAGACTTCTGGCGTATTTCGCCGAACATAACTGATTAGAAATTGCAGTAAAAACAGAAACGATTGAATGTAAATCAGTTTATATACATTCACATTACATTATTATATGCGTTGCGACCCATTTGTGTCAATTTCTAGATCCAAAATATTAGCGATTTAGCTCCTTTAAAGTCAATGGGGAAATATTTAGTGAACTGTGGCCGTTTGTCTCTGGACTAAGACTAGTAATTATTGCGAGTTATAAATAGACAATTTTTCCCTTAAATTTTTTCTCCCCTCTTCCTGCATTTTTGGGTTGACTTTTTGGTCTAGAATTGGAGAAAAGGGATCAAATTTGCAATTTCATAGCAGTTTTGGGTAATACTGATGATATTACAGCGGAGGGATAGGGGGTGTAAAGTGTCTTTCTGCAGAGCAGTCATTGTGTCGGAAGTGAGATTTTCACCCCAGTCAACTTCAAATCCGTGTAGCAAAAAATCTAAATGGTCAACCCCCTACAAAATTATGATGAGGAGATTGCCAAATGTTGTCCCCATTGTGCCTATAAAGATTGGAACCAACGGAATGTTGAGAAAAAAGCTACAGCCTGTGATGTTACAGCCATTTAACATTGAAGTCAATGGGCAAATAATTGCTAGTCTGAGTCCTGATGAGATAAGAAACATGGCCGACTCGGGATGTTGATATTTTTTCAAGGGCTTATTTCCTGAAGTTTTGAATGGAAAGTGTCAGAAATAGTAAGAATACTGCTTTTTTATTGCCCAGCAGTAAGTTTTTTGACTATTTGGTATCAAAATAGCCATGATTGGGGGTATCCGTTGGTTGAGTGTGAATTTTGGGTTGTAAATGTGTAACATTTTCTTCACAATGATATCAAAACATGGTTAGGTCTAAATATTAAGGCCAACTCAACTCCAGATTTGGTCTAAAGTCACGAGATGTAAACAAGGCTGACCCTAACCCTAACCCAAGACCCAGTCCTTACCCTAACCCTAACCCACAATCTTGTCAAAAAGCATGTAGCCTAGGCCTAAGCCAAGACCTAGTTCTGACCCTAGCCCAAACCCACAATTGTGTAAAAAAATCATGTGCCCTAACCCTATTTACATGTTGTGACCTTGAACCAAGTCTGCAGTTGGCCTTAACATTTAGACCTAACATGTTTTTGACATCATACAATGAAATGTTAACATGTACACTCCAAAATTCACACCTGTGTGACTTTTGACCAAACATGCAGTTGGCCTTAATATTTAGACCGAACCTCAAAACATGGCATCTACCTTTGAGATTGGCTTAGACTTATGTGACACTCAAGGTTTACTTTTTTACTGATTGTTAACTGGTTTCTTTTTGGAGGGCCAGTGACGGGCTGTTCGCGAGAAATAAAGAGGTTTATTTCTATTTCCAGTTGAAACCATATTTTTTTCTTATTTTCTCACTGTTTTTTATTGCATATTTATCCCCAGCCTCCTATCATTTCAGGTGCCAGGGCAATGTTTCATAGAGTGGAATGATTGACCTCAACACAAGTATTAAAAAAAAAGAAGCAAAACAGGTGAGATAAATGTGCATTTCATACACTTTAAGAAGTAAATCCAACCTCATCCCCACTTCTGCTCACTAATAGTAATGGGCTGGAAATTTGGTACTGCACAGGCCTGTCTTCTCCCCTTGACATTTAACTGAATGACAGAATTCCACATTTTGACCATTTTCTGGATGTCAATGACCATTTCCCTGGATAGTATTCGCCCCAGAATTCTCATTCTCATCCAAATTTAACATTTCAGGTCTACATCTCAAAACCTGATCTCTTCCTGGACTGGCTTTAGGAGAACGATGATGCATATCAATTTCATCCCTGATCTCTATGACACCTGTGGTGGAAGTGGAGGGCAAATCGTAATCAGTTTGGGACCTCTGTAAACTTTGCTTTTTGGTGATGACTTAATTTCCGAGCTTGAAAAGGACGCTTGTGTGTTTATCATGGCCTCTCATATTGGAAGATAACATTAATGGCTTGTGTGTTGATCGACGGTTGTGCATATCTCTTGGTCAGGAAAGTTGTAGGCACCATCGCCATTGTAAATCATTTGACAGGCTCGAGTGAACGGGGCGACCTATGATTGGTCAGCAATGTATCAGATTCCATACCGGGGGGTGGGGATGAAAAAACTGTTGTAGTGTTACATAATCAGATTATTTCAACTTACTTATCCTGTGGAAATACAGCTATATAGGAGATATTTTGAAATTCATAGGCACTGCATGTTTCAACATTTTAGATTTGACCACAATTTGGCACTTAAAACTATGTTAACAGAGAAAAACTGTGTGGTTTTCGATGAAAGTGTTAAAAGTCTAATATTGCATCATGATTACTGTTTTAAAGTATTTTCGTGTTTGATTTATATTGAATTCATCTCATCTTTTTGAAGAATGCATTTATGTTCAAAAATAAAAATGTTCTGTGGAATTCAAAATTCATGTGCTTTTAAATTATCAGATTCCAAACTGGGGGGTAGGGATGAAAAAGCTGTTGTAGTGTTACATAATCAGATTATTTCAACTTACTTATCCTATGGAAATACAGCTATATAGGAGATATTTTAAAATTGATAGGCACTGCATGTTTCAACATTTTAGATTTGACCACAATTTGGCACTTGAAACTACGTTAACAGAGAAAAACTGTGTGGTTTTCGATGAAAGTGTTAAAAAGTCTAATATTGCATCATGATTACTGTTTTAAAGTATTTTCGTGTTTGATTTATATTGAATTTATCTCATCTTTTTACAGAATGCATTTATGTTCAAAAATAAAAATGTTCTGTTTAATTCAAAATTCATGTGCTTTTAAATTTCTGTCTGAAATTCCGCAGTTTTCTGATGCATTATAGTGTTTGCAGAATGCCGCACAGCTCATCTGAAAATGCATAGATTTTCATATTCTTTGGTCAGGGAATTGCATATATGTTTGTTTATTAGATAACAACAGATTTGTTTAAACTGCAGAAACATGTGAGGTATATAGGACTAAGACTAGTAATTATTTCCCCTTATTTCATGATGGACGAATGTAGTGCGAGTTATAAATAGACAATTTTTCCCTTAAATTTTTTCTCCCCTCTTCCTGCATTTTTGGGTTGACTTTTTGGTCTAGAATTGGAGAAAAGGGATCAAATTTGCAATTTCATAGCAGTTTTGGGTAATACTGATGATATTACAGCGGAGGGATAGGGGGTGTAAAGTGTCTTTCTGCAGAGCAGTCATTGTGTCGGAAGTGAGATTTTCACCCCAGTCAACTTCAAATCCATGTAGCAAAAAATCTAAATGGTCAACCCCCTACAAAATTATGATGAGGAGATTGCCAAATGTTGTCCCCATTGTGCCTATAAAGATTGGAACCAACGGAATGTTGAGAAAAAAGCTACAGCCTGTGATGTTACAGCCATTTAACATTGAAGTCAATGGGCAAATAATTGCTAGTCTGAGTCCCTCTGTTAAAAGCAGGAAAGACGATACACAGGCATGGGAGGCAACTCTAATCTGGCAAACAAATGACGCGATGGATACCTTTTAAAAGTCAATGGGGAAATAAATAGTGACCTGTGTAGCGATGGTAATATCGCTGTCGAAACTTATTTTATTTGATGTATAAACTAAATAACTCAATCAATATATGTTACGGCTGAAGTAATGTGCGATCGTCACTTCTATGATCTGTTCTGAGACCATTTGTATTTATTCTTTGTACCAAACACCTGGGGTGTATTCGAAACAGTGTTCGCGTAAGAACACGAGAACATTTTCACGAGTCTCGAACATGAGAGAACGGTTTCCATGGTAAAAAGTTGAATTTTAAATTTATACAGTTTATTACTATAACTTGATTAGACGGTATTACGCATAAATGGCTATTAAGCATAATTTTGATAATTGACTCATTTTTACTCCTTTTCACTTCTTTCGGTGACGATTACAAGGGAATGTGCATGTGGTCGTATATTGTCGTCGCCAGGTCCGTCCGCCCGTCTACAGACAACATTTATCACCTGATTGTTTTGAAATTGATATATGTTGTGTACTTTAGTGACAAGAAGAACTCTATTTAATTTCAATAATTTCCGTTAATTCCTTCTGGGGTTATGGCCCTTGTTTCACTTTGTTGCACCTTGTGAACGCTCTAACGACAAATGTTATAATCCAATCTGTATGAAATGTATATGTATCATTTAAATTAGTGAAACGAATAATCCTATTGAATTTCAGCAATTTGCGTTTATTACGTTCAGAGTTATGGCCCTTGTTTCACTTTGTTGCACCTTGTGAACGCTCTGACGACAAAGTTATCATCCGATCTGTATGAAATTTGTATGCATTATTTAAATTAGCAAAACAAACAAATCTGTCAAATTTCAACAATTAAGGCCCTTGTTTCAGTTTGTAGAAACTTTGTAAACCTACAAACGACGAAAATTATAATCTGATCTGTATGAAATTGTCTTGTAAAAGCCCCCATTACCTACAAAAGAATGAATATGCGACAACCCTTGTCGACCGCCGGACGATGTAGCTGCTGTGGGCGTATGTTTCGTTGCCCGGCAACCTGTCTTACTTGATGTTATACTAGCCACACACTTAATGCAGTTTTCGAACGGTATTAAAATTTTAAATTAAAAAATGCAATCATGAGATGCTGTTTTCTCGGCAGTTGTCGAGGCGTCGACCATGTTAGTTCTCGCCTCACACCAGCTAACGAGGCAGTGTGGGATTCGAGAACGGGAACGTGTTCGCAAACCCTTTCCTGGCTGTTCGAGACCGACAAGAACCCATTCTCCGTCCGTTCTCTGCACCGGAGCACTGTTTCGAATACATCCCTGATTTCACTATATTCGCTGACGATAATTCTATGGTTAAACCTATACTCATTATGATTTTAACCTATCCAAACACTACATAGTCATTTTGTTTATTTTATTTTTTATATTATTTTTTCTATTATTCCTATTTGGTTTTTGTTTTCGGGAATTGGTTATAGAACTTGTATTCTTTGTAATGTAGGCCTAGCACGTTCCTCGGTGATAAAGGCCTAGCGTCTTCTCCAGTAAAATAGACCGAGCATGTTCCTCAATCCTTTTCTATGATTAAAATACTGTTTATTAAAAAAAAAAGAGAAAAAGTCTTGATTACTATAATTATAGGCTACTTATTTGACTATTTCTGAGATAACCATTCATATTTACTTTTATTATGTGTAAAAACCGTGAAAGCAACATTTTAATCAACAAGGACTCAAGGAGTGTAATATTTAACCTCAAGTTGTCTGATAATTAGTCGAGAGTAAGGAAAGTGGCCGAACACTCTAGTTCTCCGAAATATGAATTAATTTGTAACTAGCAATAATTCTTTTCATTTATTCATAATCGTCTGAAATGTGACATGAAATTGATGAAGTCGATTAGTCTATTGTATTACTTCTTAGCATCCACAAGAGCAATCCATCGACAGCCGCCATTAAATGACAAATCCTTATAATCAATGGAAGGAAAAGTCAAGTTCTGTCATGATATATACAGATGGTGACAATCACCGCATCTCTCTCCAAGTAGACCAACTGAATTCATTAGGAAGTAGACACCTAACGACATCAACAAATAACGACGGCTCAATAGATTCCACATCTAAAAATGGAAATAAGTTCGCCCGAGGCCCTGCTATTTCAAGTTAAGGTCGGCAATTAAACGCTGTATATTATTGGATTGCTCGCGGTTTCAACAGTTAATGGAATTTTCTTAATGTCGTTTCGTCTTATATTGAAATTGATTGTTTTGTTAAATCCATATGTCCGATAAATTTAGATTATATTTGGCATTCAGGGCACAATATAAATATGTTTTTCTTATTTTATTTTTCATACATGTTCATTCGGGAAGTATTTATATGTACTTTCTTTTACAGTTTTTAAACGAAACGAAACGTGTGAAATAGAAAACCCCTGACACCAAATCAACGATAAATATAAACAGCAGCAATGCTGGGCCTCAGAGGATACATCTTTTGAAAGAAAAAAAACTTTGGGAAATTGCAAAAGAAAATTGCACGGTTTGCAGAAACATACATTTCTGTGGTCACTTAGTGCTGTAGATTGCTCTTTCGAAAAAATTTAATCAGGTTTTTGTTGGTGGGAAGATGATTAATTAAGGAATAAAATATTCATGCCATGTTATTTTAGCAACTGAGAAAATAAAATTGCCAGTAAACATTGAGAAAAAATTTTGTATTCTGGTGGGAGAACATATATGCTATAGCTTTTCCTTGGATTGTGTAATGGGAAACAAACTTCTGAAGATCTTGGAATTATAACACCGAATTAATCAGTTCGCAATATGGTCGACTCAATTAACAACAGAATTTCAAATTTTTTAGTGGCAAATTGAATTTATTTGGTCTTATGGTTAAATTTAAGGAAACCATGTTTCATCCAATGCCTTAATGTCTTTAACACCCTATTCATGTTTTAAACATTCTTACTGTAATAAAATGGCCTTGACTAATATACCACAGCACGTGAAAAAACGGAAATCCGTGATATTATGATACATGAATTGAACTATAGGTTGATAAACACATTTGTCATAATCCCTGTTGGTATGCAAGGTATAGGGTATATCTATTTCATATTTGGAATTTAGGACTGTGGTCAGTCTATGGCGTAAACCAATGAGGGGTGTAAGCAATGTAAAAGAGAGGGGCGGCGGTGGCGGGGTGGGTAGCATTCGGCAGAACAACTTGTATCTCCATGATGGGATTTTTCGTGGATGACAAAGTGTAAGAGTATAAGATCTATGTACAACTGACTATTATACACCGTACTTGTTACTTTAAACGGCCGACTGTAAGTTTAAATCTCATCATAAGAGTCGGTCCAGGATAGTGGTCCTCAGTTTTCGTCGCTAAAATTAAAACAGTTTTCTGAACTTTGGAATTTTTTGCGCACAACAAGCAGTCCTCACAATAGTCTTTCTAAACGGAAAGGCTGAAAGTTCGGTTAAAATAGCCAAACGTTTAATGCGTAAAGTCAAAGATTCTAATGATGATCAATATAACGCTACTTGATTTCTGTAATATTCCTACTGAAGGAATGTCTACAAGTCCTGCTCGCACCTGCTCCCAGATCGTAAAGCTGAGGCGACGTGGTAGGGTGACCCACCATAAATAAATATCTCCATATATCTCCTTATATCTCGACAATTACGCCACAATATTTATATATATGCCAAGCCTCAAATCAGTTTCACACAATTATAGTCACTAAATAAACGATCATGTTGTACTTAATAAGCTATGACCATTAATCATCTATAAATAATAGACTGAAAACTGGTTCCAAGTGTCGTCCATTACATCCAGACACTTTTGAGTAAAAGATAGGTTACGTGCCCTTGTTTTGAAATTAGTCTCGCTTAACCAGTCTATCGACCATTCTACGTCTGATTGACAGGTCGGGATAATCAAGACTACTTTTTTACGAAACATAACAGAAAGCTAGAACAAGAAATTGAATTTAGAAATAAGCACGTTAGGTAGCTCAACAATCGTTTTAAGAACCTTGTAAAAGTAAAATGAAACTACTGCAAGTA